TGGCTGCAGCTGTCCGCTCTGCCGTCCAGGGAGCCAGGCGTGCGTGCGGGAGCTGCGGCTAGCGCTCTCATGCCATCCAGGGAGCTGCTCTGGGTGACTGTCAGCCAATTGGAAGGCTTCTGGCAGTGTGTGGGGGGGGCCCGGGCTGTGCTCGGCATGCATTGTAGACAGAATGATGGCTGTGCTCGGCTCAGTAATGGTTTGGTGGGCGAGCGGGTGGGGGGGCTTGAGCACTATCTTCAGGGATGTCTGTAATATGAGATCTACCACCGAACTAGGTCTTATTTTCGGGGTAGGTCTTATATTACAGAAATCCCTGAAGATAGTGCTAGGTCTTATTTTCGGGGTAGGTCTTACTTTCGGGGAAACACAGTATCATTAGCTCCATAGCCCCCTTCGTCTGGGCCCCCACTCATACCTTTCAATACCTAGCTATCAACCTATCAGCCCCTAGTTCTAACCTTTTTCAACTTTAACCCACTCCTGCTAAAGATTTCAGACCTTTGCAAAAATCTGAAAAGTTCAACTGTATCATGGGCAGGTAGAATTAATCTGGTCAAAATGTTTGTTTTCCCCAATATTTTATACTTGTTTCGGGCTCTACCCATACCCCTCCTATATAAGGAAACTCCAGAGCACTATTGATACCTTTATCTGGAATGGGAAGAAACATAGAATCTCAAGATCAATACTGTGTACACCCACAGCCTATGCAGGTATGGGTGCCCTGACATTGCCAAATATTATAAAGCTAACGTACTGGACCAGACTAAATACTGGTGGACTCCCCGTCCAGACAAATAATGGTCTCAAATAGAACGGGATTCCTTAACTACGGACCTCCATCTTCTGCTCTGTTCTTCCCTACTAAATAGTTCTCCCACTAAATCTTTCTTAGATATTGTGACAGCGACCTTGAGAGTCTGGCATGCCCTTGAGTCCCAGACTCAATCCCATAACAAATCTATACTCAAATTGTTACCGCTAACAACTCTTGATCTCATCCTTCCAGACATACATTTGTCCAACTGGACAAGTTTGGGGGTCTCATATATAGCCAGTCTGTATGAAAATGACTGCCTGCTGCCATTTGAGGCTCTATGTCAGCGATACTCTCTTCCGGCTCACGACTTCAATAAATACCTCAGAATAAGACTCTATCTGGCCTCTATATGTGTGCGCGATGGAACGCTTCTTAGGAGATGCATACACTACTATGGTACTAATTCCCCATCCAAGAAAGGTATTTCCTTTTTTTATAATCTACTTAACGAACCAAAAACTACTGATAAATTGCCATCCATGAGGTGGTGGGAAACGGAACTAAACTTTTCTCTCTCTCCAGAACAATGGTACAAAGCAGTCACTTGGCCTCTGAAAACTTCGCAATGTCTAAGCCACTGGGAATCCCAACAGAAACTATTGCATAAATGGTACTACACGCCACAGAAACTGGCAAAAATCTACCCCTCCTCCTCACCACTCTGCTGGCGGAGCTGTGGAATCATTGACACACATCTGGTGGTATTGCCCATCCCTTGGCCCCTTTTGGCCTGATGTTTTTCAGCTTATCTCTACAATTACTCAGCTCCCCTGTGGCGTTTCCCCACAACTTGCCTTGTTAGGGGTAGGGTTGGAAGAGTGGCCACCAGCTTCCAGGACTGTTGTGTCTCATGTCCTCATAGCGGCCAGTCTCGAACTAGCGAGAGCGTGGAAACAATCAGAACCCCCCTCCTTAAACACAGTCATACAGATTCTAAACACGCATGCACATTTTGAATTTCTGCTGGCCAAGGCTAACTGTAGACTTCATACTTTCACCTCGCGTTGGGCCTGCTGGTTGACAGACACCAGATGCTTGACACATCATATGATGATTACCAGACCCCACATTCCCTCATTAGTAGAGAGGCTCTCCACAAGCTCTAATTTTTACTTAATAAAAAAAAAAAAAAAAATTAAAAACACAAAAAAACATTGTTCATCCTCTCTATCACTGAGACTTTTAGACGCCTCTCCCTGTGTAAGACTTTGTTTTTCTTTTAAGTTTCTGGGCATTCCAACTGATCGATGTTGTAATATTTCCATGCACTGCTCATACCAACTCTGTACTTCACCTGCTGTACATACCTGTTGTATTGTTGTCCAATTTGTGCCCTGCCTTAGGCATCTTGATTGTATACACCTATGAATTTGGGCATTGCCCTTCCTGTACTGTTGTATTGTTTTTGTCTTTGTTGCTATGATAAAAACTCAGTAAATTATTCGTTAAAGATATATTAGGGCTGCGGAAATTAATGTTAGGCTGTATGACCATACCACAGACACTTCTCCTCTGGACTGACAAGACGCATTTGCGAACAGGCAAATACAGGCAGATACTGATCACTCAGAACTGAGTGATCTGATTGGCTTGGTCGCGTGTTGCCGCTTTGTGATGCCTTCATTGCATCGCGCGCTGTGATTGGCTGGAGATGAACTTTTTCATCTCACGCCGCTGCGCACGCTGTCGCTGGGCAGAGCGGGGGATCGGAACTCACTAGACACACTGCAGGCGAAGGACCGCGAGTCGCCGCTAGCCTGTGCGGCACGCTGCTTCGCCTGCAGTGTGTCACAGCCTTAAACCTCTCGTCCATGGAAAGTCGCACACGTTCCTCGGGCGGCCCGGTACCATTTGATCCATGGACCGGTACCGTTCCGCGGCACGGGGGTTGGGGACCACTGGTTTAGAATGCTTGTCCTGGTGTTATGACGTCATGCGATGATTGTCTGCAGGCATTATTGTGACAAGAAGGCAAGTCTAAGTCGGGGGAAATGTGTGGAAGGTTACACAATTAGCCTGCCTTCCCTTTCTATGATAAATCGGGACTAGATCTCCATAGGAACAGCCTTAACCCAGCCTATTGATATTAAAATCCATCAAATCGAAATTAATCGATTACATATTTTTTTGATTAATTGAACACGAAAATTTTAAATCAGTACATACACACACCTCTGAAGGTATGTTGTGGTTTCTGGCACCAAGCCATCAGCAGATCCTTCAAGCCCTGCAAGTTGCAAGGTGGGGCCTCTATGGATTGGATTTGTTTTTAACACACCACCACAAATGCTCGATTGGATTGAAATCTGGAGAATTTGGAGGCCAAATCAACACCTCAAACTCGTGTTCCTCAAACCATTCTTGAAGCATTTTTGCAGTGTGACAGGGCACATTATCCTGCTAAAGGAGGCGACTGCCATCAGGGAATACCATTGCCATGAAGGGCTGTACTTTGTCAGCAACAATGTTTAGGTAGGTGGTACATGTTAAAGTAACATCCACATGAATGGCAGGATCAAATGTTTCCCAGCATAATGTTACCCAATGCATCAAACTGCCTGACAGCCCCACCTTCTTCACACAGTGCATTCTGGTGCAATCTCTTCCCCGGGAAACAAACACAAACCCAGCCATCCATATGATGTTAAAGAAAACGTGATTAGTCAGACCAGGCCACCTTCCTCCATGGTCCAGTTCTGATGCTCAGGTGCCCATTGTAGTAGCTTTTGGTGGTGGACAAGGATCAGCACGGGCACCCTGATAGGTCTGTGGCTAACCAGCCCCATACACAAACTGCAATGTACTGTATTCAGACACCTTTCTATCAAAACCAGCATTAACTTTCAGCAATTTGAGCTACAGTAGCTCCTCTATTGGATCAGAATACATGAACCAGCCTTCCCTCCCCACATGCATCAATGAGTCTTGGCCGTCAATTACCCCCATCGCCAGTTCACCGGTTTTACTTCCTTGGACCACTTTAGGTCATAACGAGAATTCATGTTACGTAATTCCCCTCAGTGGTCATAATGTTATGGCTGATCGGTGTATATATTATATATATAT